AGTTATAATCTTTCAAATGAACTGGCCAAGGGCTTAATCAGTGCGATTACAACGGCGATGACACTCATTTTACACATTTCTACATTCCAACATTTTCTCACATATAATTCTTTCCAGGATCAGAATAAGCCGTACCTAAAATACGGAAATCTTTTTCTACCAAACCTTGCATTTCCTATACATCACTAGATAAAAATTTCATGATACTCATTACTTTTCTTTTTAGGTGTCATTCCTGTGATAACAAACATTTTTAATTTTTCACCTAACGTAATCCGATTTATTTAAAAGTCTACTATGTAACGCCGGATCCTCAAATCTTGTTATGAGATGTTCCCAGCGTTTGAAGTTGCCCTGAACCCAATGTCACCACTACTCACCAAAGCCTTATTGAGACCGACCGCCGCATTTAGTTTCTCTGGGCGTCTGTACGGTGAGCCGTGAACAGAGAATCTCACGTCAAGAAGCGACGCATTGGAATTGTGTGGAGAATGTAACACAGTGAAGACGTCCACATTCTCCAGACTGACATTCAGTATACGAGCCAGACGAGAGTGGAAGAGCTCGTGTTTGCTTGGACCGCCGGAAGTCTGCGGCTTAATAAACTCTTCAGCTGTTACCCCAACCATTCGCACGGAACCCGACTTGTCCACCGCCTCTTCGGGGATTTCCTTCACGGTCACGTTAACGGTTGCGTCAACAGAATGCCGTGGAATCAACGGCGCCTCCTCGGTCACCTATGGAGAAACAATTCGAACAATAATTTATAAGTTAAAGATAGCTACAGGGTGCTCTATGTTGCATTCATTGCATCATATTTGATTTAATAATGCTAAGAGTAAAAATTATGGAGCTCCTCGTCATGAAATTATCTCCAGCCCCGTTACCCTTCTAACGTCCAAATATCACCCTTAAACACTCCCTATCTTTGTTCTTCATTTAACGTGGGTGATGAAGTTGTGATCAATGATCTAGCGGCTGTTAACTGTAATAGGAAGATAATTACATGTGGAACGTTACCTTTAAAGTCATGTAACAAATTTTAATTCTTTGTAAGCCTGCATAGAAGATCTCCTGTCTTCTGTGATGATAAACCACTTAGTCTCGTAGAAGTTTACTCATGTTTCAGAGGTACCTACTGCCTCCATCTATCTCGTAGACGTTTACTCATGTTTCATAGGTACCTACTGCCTCCATCTGAAATGCTGATAAACTTCTACCAGACTACATGGCACAACAGCGCAAAAGACAGTCATCTGCGTACCTGCCACCGTAAGAACCTGAAATCTCTCCTAGTGAGGTTAGGTTAGAAGAAAGAGAGACAGAAAATTCCAGACCACTTACGGTGAACTTCAATAAGAAAGAATTGTTGGATGTGCCTTGAAGCATCGTGATCATGCCGGTGTTACGATCCAAGTCAAAGTTTTGATGCTGTATTCCATCCTTCCACATGAAATGTTTATCTCCGAGATCCCAATCGTCGGGGTCCTCGACATAAACCCGTCCTATTTCAGTGTTGGGCGCTTCTCCTTTGTAATTGTACATGAAAATGGAGCTGTGGCCCTCTTTCATTGCATTATCGTTCACATCTCCGATCTCAACGATCAGGGTACTTGTACCAGTCATCGTTGGAGAGCCACTATCTGATATTGCAATTGGGATCATGTACTTCTTCTGATGCTCTCTGTCAAATGTCACCCGCGCTTCAAGGTCATGATCTCCTAAAATGGTAAAGAAAGGGTACACTTGATAAAACTCAATTCCAATGCAATTATTTTATGTGATTAAGAGATAAAGGCAAAGCCATTCATTACAGCTGTCCCATTGCATGTCGCGGACATACTTGCGGAAGTGGAGGTACGGCTCCTACTTGTTCCGGACCTCGGCATTACACGGGACCGAGCGGTCAGTGTTATGCCTCAGTCGCGCTTTACTCGCAAGTAAATGACCTCTAGTACCCATTCGATAAAAGAATGGATGGGACCCAATGCTGGTCCAGATAAGGAGACTTGAAAAAAAATCCCTTACCCCTGCAAAGGGTCAAACCCCAGTCATTCAGTCTGTAGTCAGACACTACACTGACAAAAGGAAAAGTAGCCCTGTACTTGATTAAGTACCATATTAAGTACGTGGCAGAAGAGGTAAAGTTCCGTACTTATCCGTATTTCTAACGATTAAACTACCGCAATAAGATGGCTGTCTTCTGGGTTAAAGCGCTGTGTAGTCTGGAAGTAGTTTAGCAATGCAAGGACCTCTGAAATGTCCGTGAACTTATACCAGACTACACGGCATTACAACCCGGACGACAGCCGTCTTCAGACTCACAGCTGTGAAAATCTCAAATCAAACTACGGAAACTTCAGTATTCTCCGAGGCTGAAAACTTAGACCACGACCTCCTGAGAGAACATCCGCAATGTATTTTTTACCTGAAATTGCAAATTTTTCAATGATATCAGGCGGAGCCGAATCAGCAATTGTGAAGATGAAAGGTGGACCATTCTGTTCACTGTCGTAGTCTCTGGCGTTCAGTTGCGTTATTATCCCGGGCATCTGGTTTTCATCCCATTTTACTGGCTGGACCATATCCAGGAACGGCGCATTGTCATTAATATCCGTGAGCGTGATGATCACTTCAGTATTATTCCGCAGCGATGTTGGACCACCATCTTCATCGTTAGCGGCGATGAGGACCTGCCACTTGGAGAAGCCGTTTGGCAGATCTCGATCCAGGGGCTGAAATAATACGTTAATATCAGCTACTCTAAAATTCACCATGTTTTGAATCATTAGGAAATATGGCTGTAATATTCAGACAGATATCTTCACGTGATAACAGTAAAAAGCGAGTCACGATGAAATTCAACAGACTTCAAAGAAAGTGTTCGATAAGTGCAAATTCAAAACAATCAAGCTGGAAAAATTGAATCTTTAAAAATTCAAGGAATAATTAAAAAAAGTAACTCAAATCTGTCATGACACTGCTAACCCGCAAGTCATAAATTGCTACCGTTTTCATTCAGTTCTGTCATGACGCATACTATTTTTAGTTAGAAAGTTTTGAATGATAAGTGTAGTTAACATTCGTCCCGCGCCATAGCCACGCGGTCTGAGGCATCGGAATGCACACTGGTTCGAGTCTCGGGGGAAAAGAAATTTTCTCATGAGCTTTCGACCGGTGGATGGGACCGGTGCCAACCCAGCATCGTGAGGAAATTGGGGAGCTACGATGAGTAGCGTAATCCGGTCAGGAAAGCTAGCGATGGCTGGGGGTTCGTCATGCTGACCACACATCATCCTATATCTGGTTCGATGATCGTTCACCTCTGCTTAGGCATGTGAACGTGAGGCCAGCAGTCAAGCTAGTCGGCTTTGGCTCTCTGTAGCTGTTACGCCACGGATTATTAGTCAATATTCAGGAATCGCTATAATTTTTACATATATAATTTTGAAATCGTTTCCACACTGAAATTACCTTAATTTGTGAGAGACAGCCATTTTTTGCTATGTGCAGCAGCATCTGCTGGTCCTCTTTTACCACAAAATATTCAATGTGCTGCTCGGCAGTCCGGACCTGAATGTCAGGATCATAAGCTTGCAACTGAAAAAAAAAAATCAGACATTACTGGAGGTGAGATCTTAATCCGCAATAACAGACAACACAAAAGAAATAATAAGTATTTAGACGAATATCACGAAAACAGTAACGAAGGTGATAAAGAGAATAAGGACTTTCCCCACTTTTAACCTGCACCATAACAAATAATTAACGTTCCTGATAAAACATTGTAGTCAGCAGAAACACCAGATATTGTGTTAAACATACTTTGTTCTAATTTAGAATGCTAATTTTCAAAATATATAAATTATTGGTACTTGTGGGTTATCGGGACACATCGCTTTAAAAATAGTTTAGGTTAGGTTAGGTTAGGTTAGATTAGGTTAGGTTAGGTTTAGGTTAGGTTAGATTAAGTTAGGTTTAGGTTAGGTTTGGTTAATGTGTGTGGATAAATGACATACTTGAAAGTTATTATATTTTATTTCAATAAATGACAAGTATTTTTAAAGTGATGTGTCCCGATAACCCACAAGAACCAAATTATTTTATATGAACAATGCCCTTATTTTACTCTGAATGAAGCAAATTTACTGAATCAAAACTGACTGATGAATGTGTTGTAACCTTTCAAGGTGTTTCTTAATTAGTGGCGACAAACACTTGACAAAACTACCTCAAGACTTTCACTAACAACAAGAATGAAAACTGCGTAACGAGAACACTTACCGTGACAATGCAGCCAGGAACTATTTCTTCCTCCTGAATGGTGATATTCTTGTTGTACGGGAGGAACACTGGCGGGTTGTCATTCACATTCTCAATTTTGATCTCTACTTTCGCCATGTCGTGCACAATACCATCATCGGCCTTCACGAGAAGCGTGTACTGCGCAAGAACAACACAAATTACGTATTAATCCACTCTAAAGTTCCGATGGCTCAGAAATGCCGTATCTAATTGACGACCATGCTACTGAACGTGATCATCCGAGAACACGCCGTAAAAAAATTCCTTTCAACCTTATTTCATTTTGATCAGGAATACCGTGATCCATGCTCGTTACTCAAATGAAAATTAACTCAATTTATTTAGACCCATTTTTCTTCAATCTTTTACGTCAGAATGACAATGGTACTTTCTGAGGATGTCGACACTTACGCTAGTTATGTTTTCATAATCCAGCTTAGAGTTGACACGAATTTTGCCAGTCAAATCTTCAATGAGGAAGGCATCATACGTATTCCCGCCCACAATACTGTACCTCACAGTAGAAGCTGTAACAAAGAAGTCACAGTTAATCCCACGTTTCCCAAATTTGCAAAAAACTAACAATACATATATTTTGGCAAATATGGGGGGGTAAAAATCATCATCATAAACTTTTAAAGGCTCAGTGTCACAGCACTCGACAGGTTAAAAATACAGGTAGCCCTCGATTTGCGCCGATTTTGAAACCAGCAAATCAAAAAGTGATAAAAATATATTTTACTATTATTTATAATGTTTTACAATATATCTCGCACTGATTCTTATACTAAATCGTGATTCTTACATCGCTGATTTTGAATAAAAATTATAAATACAGTAATCTCTGCAATTACGTATGTTTCATTAATGATAATTTGCTCCAATGAGATCGATGAATCGGGAAAAGCTGTTTGTGAAATGCAAACTTTTGTATATCCGAGTTTGCTCCTATGCAATTTCATTCCTGGTGCTTTAAACTTTCAAAGGGCTAATTTAATCTCTGCTGAGGTACCGGGGTTATTTTTACTACGCGATTTTCTATAGGTCAGCGTCTTACATGAATGCAACTATCGCATAACAGCAGAGATATCACACGAAAGAATCTCGGTAAATAGCGGGGACCAACGAATTGTCGATTGTAAGTGTACAAAATATATTTTTTTTTTTAAATTCCCTTTATTTTATTTACGTTATTCCAGAACTTTAAATGTAATTTCATTATATTACTCGTCAATGTTTGGGTCCTGGTAACACGTCATTGACTTCCCATTGATTTAAATTATAAAAGAGTTTCAATTTACGCCGGTTCATCCAGGAACGCATCCCCGGCATAAATCGAGGGCTACCTGTAATTTGTAATCACTTTCTCCGACATACTCTTGGCTAATTAATGACAGAATTAAAGTGGAACAATCACATAGAATAAATTATGTATTTTTCTGTCCATTCACTCGGTGATCATGATACATCCAATGTAAACAATCCAGATGCTGACCTGTATCATTATCCTGAGCTTTTACTTCTGTGACGATATAATTTATGTTGGCATCTTCTGGAATTGCCTCCGCAACGTACACTTCCTGCGTGAAGCGCGGCGGGTTATCATTCTTGTCGGCTATTTCGATACGAAACACCTGTTGACCGGTATTGTGGCTTCCGTCCGTATACAAAGACGACGGAGAATTGTCGGTCGCATACAATTTCACATTATAAAAATCCTTTTCTTCGCGGTCGAAAGTTTTCAAAGTTGTAATGTTTCCAGTCTTGGGATCAATATGGAACAGATCAGTGTGGTCTGCCAGTGCGTATGTTACCTATGAGAAAACAGAAACAAAATTATGTCAGTTTCGTGTGGTCTTACCACGGCCTGACTCGGGGCAAAACGCAATCTGGACCCTTCGACGTCTTACAAAAATTTGTATTATATTAACTGCAAAAAAAACTCCAAAATCAAGAACAGCAAATTACACTGAAGATCAGTACAATGGATGGACGTCTGTAAAATTTCTATCATCTCTTTTTCTACTTGCAGCCGCGACAACAGGAAATGAATATTTTTTTCCAGCACACCTGATTGTTTGCTTCGGTGCCGTCGGCATCGATGGCTCGAATTTGCATCACCGGTGTTCCCGGCGGCTCGTTTTCCAAGACGCTGCCCCTGACGACCTCCGTAAACGCGGGAATGTTATCGTTGACGTCTTCAACCTGAATGTAGATTGTGGTCGTAGCCGCAAGACTATATTTATTCTGCACACGAATTGTGAGCGTGTATTCGGATATGCTCTCGTAGTCGAGCAGCCGACCCAACTTCACCATTGCCTTGGGACCTGATGTTTCCAAAATAAATGTTTTCTGCAAGTTTGTCTGCTCTGTCCTTCCGGGCACCAACTCAAACTGCAGGTCACTCTCATCTGGGATGTTGGACCTGCAATAATAATAATAATAATAATAAAAACATCATTATAATTACTTAATTATCATGCGCGTGCAATGTGAAACATGCCACCCTTCAGAATTTGTTTCAAATACCATAAATGGTGAAATTGTCAACACTTCAAATAAATCTGAACAGGGAGTTCCTTACTCGGCAGTGAGCGTAGCAATTGGCACTGAGAAGTCATTATAATTCTCCTTCAGCTGCACGGTCATTCCGCCGCCCTGCGTAAAACTGGGAGCTTTCTTTTGTGAGTCGACAACCAAAATCTCCAGATCGATGTCCCCTACATTGTGTTCGGCGCCCTGATCTGTTGCCGTAGCGCGCATCCGAAATACGTAACCAGGCATTCGCTAAAAAAAAAATCAAACACATGCTTCAAATGTTTCTGTGCATCTCAGCAATGTGTATAAAATATATAAAAAGTAAAGTAGAGTAAAGCCGTCCCACTATGCGCCATGTAGGCGCTTGGGGGGAGAGGCGGTATAGCTCCTGCTCATTCTTTACCTCGGCACTAGATGGGAGTGAGTGGTCAGCATCACGCCCCGGCCGGCTTTACCCCCGGGAAAGGACCCCCGGTACCCATTGTAGAGGAGGCTGGGTGGGCCCCAGAGCCGGTCTGGACGCGGAGTCTAGAGGAAAAATTCTGCCCCTGTCGGGGATCGAACCCCGGTCGTCCAGCCCGTAGCCAGTCACTAAACTGACTGAACTACACCGGATCATAAAATATATAAAAATTATTACGTAACTTGGAACAATTTTTAAAACTCACGGTTATCGTCTGATTGAGAAAGATCACGCCGGTGTTCGAGTCGATACGAAGGAATCCTTGGTCTGTCTCTTGTTTTGGTTCGAGCTTATATAAGACGATGCTGTTGTTTCCGTCATCGATGTCTGTTGCCGAGATACGCATCACCTCTCTGTCGAGCTGCAGATCCTGCGGTACGGACTCCCGGTAGATCTGTATGACAACTACGGTAGTTACTTTCATGCACAATCCTGTATAATATTACTTAGAGTTTCAGGACTCATGATTAAACATTACTGAATAAATGTTCTTAAAAGAGAGGAAGTATTTAGCTAATTGAAATGTAAACAAATTCTGGGCGTGAAACAATTTTACGTACTTGGTTAAAAAATGAAATTGTAGATTTAAAAATGTTATCAGTCACAATACATTTGAGTGAAAATTATGCAAGTTCGAAGCATTAAGCACGTCACATAAAATGCCTAACAAATTTAAAATTATATCAAAGTCTTAAAACTTCAGAACAAATTCAACCCCTTGAAATATGATACATCTCACATGCAATATAGTGGCCAAAACACAGGCACAGAAATACAAAAAAACAAAAAACAAATTATGAGTTAAAAGTAAAAGACGTCGGCAACTTTTACTTCGTCGAACATGCCATCTAACGCCAAGAACGAAAACTTCGTCGAACATGCCATCTACCGCCAAGAACGAAAACTTCGTCGAACATGCCTCCTAAGACACGCGGTCATACACTGAGAAAGAATATATGCAACATATCACAAGCTACGCAACAAGAACTGAACACGCAAAACAATTTGTGCAACATGATGCTACAGAACAAACCTTATACATGTATCCTGGATAGACCTGTAACATACACAAGGCTTTACTCATATTCCAGATTCTAACACTTTAAAGCAATCAGACACACAATGAAAGACTTTTAATTGAAGTTAACTGTACTCTCTCGTCTATTACGGAGGTTAGCCAGATATCGGTGAAACGTCCAGCCTCAAAACCAACCACGCGGATGATAACTTTTCAGTGTGACACATTTCATAAACTTATAAACCCTGTGTGCTCGCAAAATCAGGCTAATAACAGACTAGTTAAACGGAAAAATAAAAAAAATAGAGAGGGGGGAAGAAGAAGAAGGAGAAGAAGAAGGAGAAGGAGAAGGAGCAGGAGAAGAAGAAGAAGAAGAAGGAGGAGGAGGAGAAGGAGAAGGAGAAGGAGAAGGAGAAGGAGAAGGAGAAGGAGAAGGAGAAGGAGAAGGAGAAGGAGAAGGAGAAGGAGAAGGAGAAGGAGAAGGAGAAGGAGAAGGAGAAGGAGAAGGAGAAGGAGAAGGAGAAGGAGAAGGAGAAGGAGAAGGAGAAGGAGAAGGAGAAGGAGAAGGAGAAGGAGAAGGAGAAGGAGAAGGAGAAGGAGAAGGAGAAGGAGAAGGAGAAGGAGAAGGAGAAGGAGAAGGAGAAGGAGAAGGAGAAGGAGAAGGAGAAGGAGAAGGAGAAGGAGAAGGAGAAGGAGAAGGAGAAGGAGAAGGAGAAGGAGAAGGAGAAGGAGAAGGAGAAGGAGAAGGAGAAGGAGAAGGAGAAGGAGAAGGAGAAGGAGAAGGAGAAGGAGAAGGAGAAGGAGAAGGAGAAGGAGAAGGAGAAGGAGAAGGAGAAGGAGAAGGAGAAGGAGAAGGAGAAGGAGAAGGAGAAGGAGAAGGAGAAGGAGAAGGAGAAGGAGAAGGAGAAGGAGAAGGAGAAGGAGAAGGAGAAGGAGAAGGAGAAGGAGAAGGAGAAGGAGAAGGAGAAGGAGAAGGAGAAGGAGAAGGAGAAGGAGAAGGAGAAGGAGAAGGAGAAGGAGAAGGAGAAGGAGAAGGAGAAGGAGAAGGAGAAGGAGAAGGAGAAGGAGAAGGAGAAGGAGAAGGAGAAGGAGAAGGAGAAGGAGAAGGAGAAGGAGAAGGAGAAGGAGAAGGAGAAGGAGAAGGAGAAGGAGAAGGAGAAGGAGAAGGAGAAGGAGAAGGAGAAGGAGAAGGAGAAGGAGAAGGAGAAGGAGAAGAAGGAGAAGAAGAAGAAGACAGTCCTATCCGAAAGTACTCGCTTCCGCTGCAACGGGAAATGCGAAAGTACACTTCAAACTGACGTATCACTTACCACTTTGTCAAACACGGGCGAGTTATCATTAATATCTTCGATGATAACTTTTATTGTACACGCGTCATCTAGCTGAGGACGTCCGTTATCTGTGGCGCGTACTGTGAGGTAGACTTCCTTCTCACGACTTGGTTCATCACGATCAAACATCTGGAACACAATCTTAATTAAATTAAAATCAAAACTGCAGTGGGGAAAAGTATTAATGAGGGTTTATGTGCACTTTCAAAGCGAATATTACGTTGATTAAACAAGGATAACAACTTCTGATATACATTTATTACAAATTAGGTGTTTCCAGAATGCTTGGCTGAAAAATTCAATTCACGCTAATGACAAAAAAAAAATGATCGAACTATGGGACATAAATATCACCTTTCAGCTTCAAATAAATCCAAATTCATCACATCAAATAAACTTTTTAAGTTTACAAAATGTAATATGCGATGCACACACGTGCCCCTTATATTTACTTCTATTACAGAAATTACGAATTTACTTTCGCGGCGTCTAAAGCCCAGTTCACAGGCACTTACGTGTCTAGTCTTGATTACTCCTGTTTCCTGATCAATAGAAAACTTCAGTCTTTCTCCGGGGGCCGACACAAATGTGTAGGTGATGCTACCTCCAGCTTCTGGTGGGTCCTTATCGACAGCCTTAACGGTGAACACATACGTGCCCGATGGCTCTTCCTCCTTCACCGTCGGGGCATACTGAGAGCAATTGGTAAACACGGGCTTGTGATTGTCCTGCACAGTCAACCGTTTCTCTGTGTTCGTAAGTATCTGAAACACGCAAATTTCCCTCAAGTCAGTCAACGCACCACCGCCACAGAATTATATTTCTGACGACAATTCTCTGAAATCATTCTCTCTTTCGTTTTTCCAGGCAAGAAAAAGTTTCAAACCTGAAAAAAATAAAAAGATACCTTAGTACAAATAATATCCCCCTCCTCCCACTGGAACCTATCATGGAAAAGATGATTCCAGACATTCTGTGTTAGTTCCATTTCAATATTATCCTCCAATCTATGTCTTATAATTGGTACCTTCGCTTCAGGATACTCACCTAAAGAATTTCTTGTCTCTTTTGTGCATACGACACGTTCCAATTCCTTATTTGAACACCCTAATAATAATAATTGATAAGCGGTACAAATTATTTAATCCTCATTACGTAATATACATTTCTAATTACTTCTAAACAAATACTGTTCCATACCAGGAACAATTTTTCCCCCCATATACGCGTGTTGTTATGAAATACCTTCCGTGCTCTCATTAGCATCTGGGAATGATGAGGGCATTTAAAACAGGTCCACAAAAGGTCCGAATGAATTAATTAAATTTCTCACGAAACAAATTAAATACCACACAAGTCCAGTCCTGCGAGAACACTGCTCTAAAATTAAAGTGAATAGCTTTTAGTGAGGAATGTGTGTTTGTTTTGTTTCTTGTCTCTGTAAAATGCTATCGGGCAAAGCTCAACATCAGGGGTGTAAAATATATCCATTTATAGGCAGAAATTTGGCTATGCTTAAGAAAACTCATATTTTTCATGTAGTACTTTCAGAAACTGTGAAGCCTTCAAGAACAATTTCACCAAGAACGACAAAATCTGCTGAAATTAATCTCTCTCAGCGTGGTTTATATGTAGGGGGCAGAACCCACCGCAAATCCCGTGCCACAAAATTGGACTACGTTCTGGTCCAACTGGACATTCAATATAGCAACATGAAAATTACGACAACAAATAAACAAAGCTACGAAAGAGAGAAAACAAAAAAAAATAAGAATAATCATTTACAAATTTTTTACTCGTCGTAAATGTTCTTTGAAAAATTAAGAATAATCATTTACAATTTTTTACTCGTCGTAAATGTTCTTTTATAACTGTAATTTGTGCAAAGAAAACTCATAGAGTACTAATTACGGTTATAATTCCTGTGGATATCAAATATTTTATTTATGAGAACAGTAATTTCTTCCCTTAAAATAATTATTAAAAGAGGGAAAGTCATTTGAAAGTTGCAATCAAAATATTTTGATCATTAACTCCACGAACTCCCATCCTTCAGTTGCATTTTAAAACATAAACATGGGTCCTTTTTACGTACTTAAAACAAAGCCTACGACACACTAAAAAGTATCAATGCGCCAGGGGAACGGGGGCCGGGGCTGTAGGAGTTGATTAAGACAGCACAAAGAAACCCCAGGAGACCCACAGCATCAACCCCCCACCCCCCGAAACAAACCAATCACGAACGAGTTTACTACGAAACCATTACACTATCAGATTCAGAAGAATTTATTCAAATTAAAAATAACCAAATAGTTTGGTTACAATCATATGGAAACTATCAAATGTACTTTGTTTCTAGAATACAGTAGCACACATACATTTTACAATTCGGTCGCTTGCATTCAAAACAAACCGGACACAGGAAATGCACACACCACAAAAATATTTGGGTTCACCGACTGGAATTTCCTGTTCTTAGTTAACATTTTCGTCAACAGATGGCGAGGCTTGTATCATCGATCTACACACAAGTACTCGTAGTTACCGAAAGCGGCGCTCTTGTCGTGTTTATTTTATAGTTTTTTTTTACAACAGAAATTATTCTCATTATTCTTGAAAAGAGAATATTCATAATCGCTACAACAAAACCCCACCGTTATCGGTCGTGATGCTCACAAAATACACGTGAAACGGTAGTCGTCGTCCCTGCCTGCATCATTAACCTCATCTTTATCCCTAACAATACGATGTTCCTCCAATATCATGTTCCTTTAAAAAAAGGCTGTATCCCTCCGACTAAAGATGTATTCAACTGTTACAGTAAAAACACGCCCCCTTTATAATGTTGATAGAAATTATTAACGGCACACAAAAACATTGAATAACAACAACAACAACAATTATACAACTGCTAAAGACGGCGAAAAAATCATATAATATATTTTATATTTTTTTTTGGGAGAGATAAATTCTATTTTAAACATTCCGTATTGCCCGTAGGCCTATTGTCAATTCATCTTCTTACTTTTATTACCTTTAATAAATCTATTTATTCGTCTCGCAAGCCATAAACCTGGGCTACCTTCTTTGGAGTACACTGTCATTCCAAAGGCCACTGTCGTACCATTGCTATCCGAGGTCAATGTTTCGCAACAATGTCCCAACAATGGGAAGATATCTATTGTTGAACAACAATTACCCTGGTTATGCTGGCTGCCTACTTCCTAGGAAAACAGCGACAGAGCGTGAACAAAGCCTATCAACTGACAACGAGATCCGGCCATTATGGAGTTGTCTCCATTTTTCACTAAAGGATTCAACACAATTCGATAGTTTTAATTCATCACGTACACGTAAAAATAAAAGAACCTTACAAGCATGATACGAGATGTTTCGTAAGCAAAATTCAGCGGCCATTTCCCACCAAAGTCCCCTGATTAACTGCTAGATGGCTCTGGCAGTCAAATCAGGATTGAGCAGAAATTGTGCAGAGTCAGTGGGCTGGTCACTCATTACTCGTAAATGCACTCTTCAAGACCACGAAATCTCATAAAAATGAGGCGGTGAAAACCCACAACCGGATTGTAAACAACAACAACAACGTACATACCTATCGTTATTTCAGTACTTTCTACTTTAAGAAAGAATATGAAAGTAGAACGAGTGGATAATATTAAAAACAAATCAGGGTGGACTTCATTCAACTGGCTCAGGGTACGGAGTAGTGACGAGCTACTGTAAACACGGTAAATAAACTTTTAAAATCCACAAAGAGTATAAAATATATTGATCAGTTGAATAAAAGTCATCTTCACGTGAAATAGCTACTACCTTGCTCCGTGCAGAAGCGTTAAATGAATTTCAGTGTTTCGGTGCATTTTCCACAATTTTCAGTGACACGAGAGTCATATAAAGAATCAACTGTTTGTTCTATTTAAAGGAACACAATGTGCTCTGACACACAGCCCTGATCGATTTATTGATAGAGCGGACCGGGCTACAATTTGCTTATGTAAATAAAAAAACGTGGGGCCACTGTGGGTGACCAAATTTCCAAATATAAACCTGTTTGAACTAAAGTCGAAATGTTTGTCCCTGACCAAGTTAGCTGCAGAACCACCCTTTGTCGGCTATCACGGATTGCGAATTAAATTTATCTGCAGATGAGATCGTAATATTGAAACGGTTTCCTGGGAAATATAGTTGGAGGTCGTTGAATGGATTTATCTGGCTCAGGATTGGGATATTTCTTGGATCTTGTGAACACATTAGCGAGTCTTCGCTGAGAAGCTACTAGTCCCGGTTCATTTTCGTCACCCACGTTAGAATTATTTCTAAAAACAGCCGAATGGTTACACCATTTGAAAACCAACATTGTCACATGGCGTGCGTCATTACAGAGATCTTCAAGGTTTCTACTGATAATGTTCTTCTGGGTTCTGGCGCCGTGTGGACTGTTCGGTAGATACCAACGTTTCGGAGAAGCGTACCGTTTCCATCTTCAGGGCTGAAGTGAGCACCACCAAAGGGGCAAAGCACAGAAAACACCAAACCGAGTTTTACGCTGTGCGTAATTCGTCTAAAATTTCCTTCTTACCTCCTGAAATTAAATTTTTTAAAAGAAATCCAACTTACAGTCGTCCTCGGATGTGGCTCAGATGCGTCCACTTCATACCCCCCGAAAGTTCCATAGCTTCCAGATTTATCTACGAGATGTCTCAGATGTCGCAATCTCGCGCCAGTGTGAGGTCGTCTCGTATGATGATACCCATCTGAAAAAAAAGATCACATCATCATCATTTCAGTATTAAACCCAAATCCGTTACTACTTCGCTGGTGACTGCAACCACAAACTCAATCCCAACCCATTCTGAAATAAAATTATTGCGTAAGTCGCGCGGGTTATCAAAACTCGACAGTCACAAACTGAAAACAAATGCAATATATCAGAGCAAACTTGCCAGAATTATTACTCTATGTGAACATCTCCTAACTTGTTTTAATTTAGAACACAGCATGACCGTTTCATAGACACCCCGTAGGCATGCTCAGAAATAAGGATTCTGCCATTTAAAATAATTCACTTCGGAATAAGAAATTCGGAAGCAACTTCAATACAACCCAAGTGTTTCGTTTCTGTTAATAAATACGAAGTTCTAAGCGTTCATTCGGACATTTTATGTTGTTCCTCGTTCGTGAATTATAAACTCATTTTGAAAGTGAAGGCGATAATTTGTCGAGAAATTTCCACGCTGAATATCACGAAGAATGATACGATTTTGAACAACGTACGAGGCCAAACAAACACTTTAGGAACTTACAAAGGGAGGACGGATTTCACTAATCACCAGAAGAGATTAAAATTCATCTTCCTCAGGATTAGGCCACTTCTTAAAACATCTGATTGCAGCTGTATATTTAATCGATTACCCATTATATCTTAACTCAATGTGTTTGTATTTCAGTATATGCTTTTAGTATTCTTTACGTCTTCATTCCGTATAGACCTACCTTCAAAGAGTCAATTTTATTCCAGAGATAAACTCTAAAACATTTTTGTAGAGATGACTGCATTTCATTATTCTTAAAAATTCCAAATAAAATTCCGTAGAAACATGTCTCGATTATTTCTAAAGCTTTCTCCTAAATACCCAGGAATCATTACCGTTTTCCATCCCTTCTGTGTTCTTAAATAAGGAATATACCTGAACCATTTGCGTTAATATTCAGTAAATCTGCATTCTGCCCACATTATTTATGTATGGGTTTCGTATGATTCTCACAGTAAACAGCGATTATTTCCTTAAACAGCGTTAACCAGTTGATCTTCGTAATGGTGACGTGTAGTGTTTTCTTCGCGGTACGGACTTAACGTATAAATATAATTCATTCGAGATTGGGCTTCAAAGTGTGTTTGATGATAATATCGTCAAAAATTATCTTAAGTCTTAGTTAATTTCGGTTCCTTTGTTTCAAAACCACAAACTGACAGGTTAGTTACATCTTCTGTTCCGTTAAATACAAATATATGACTCGACTTGGGGATATGAACCGCCATTTTACCATGACTCAGAACAGAAAAGTCGTCGAACATTTTATGGTGACAAAATTCCGCGTTCCGTGCATTTATAACGCAGGTGTATAACGAAACGGACCTGATTATAAAACACTGACGTCAATATTCTGAGGAAGTTAGGAGGTGACTAAATTCCGGAAATGCTTGCTACTTCTCAGTCCAAAATATTTTGTCTTCCCGTCTGATTTCTAAGAACCTGAAAATTAAAGTATACAAAACAATAATCTTGCCTGTTGTTTTGTATGGGTGCGAAACATGGTCTCTCACTCAGAGGGAGGAACACAGATTGCAGGGTTTTGAGAATCGGGTGTTGAGGAGGATATTTGGGCCTAAGAGGGAAGACGATGGGGCGTGGAGAAAACTGCACAATGACGAGCTTAAAAATCTGTACTCCCCCAGTATTGTCAGGGTGATTAAGTCGAGAAGAATGAGATGGGCTGGGCATGTAGCGCGCATGGATGGGACAAGAGGTGTGCACCGGGTACTGGTTGGGAAACCAATATTCAGTTAATAAATAAACAAATAAATAGAAAATTTGAGTAAGGTGTTCCAAACGCGATACGTAGGCGAAACGACATCTGTAATTTGTTATGATTTATCGAACATTTATAACTGTCTTTTCATATCTAAGTACGGATGTGGCAGGCTCTGTGGATAACCGTTTCATCTCCACAATGACGTTGTTTGCAGGCTGGCAAACACTGACACATAAATTACATTTTTAAGCCTTAGAGCTGCTAGTCTTAACAACAAACATGACAACGTACAACATTTCCATGTCGTCCTTAATTGCCTGCAGGGTAAACCTTATATTGTCTTCCCACATACTGCAGCTACGTCTAAAATATTGAATACATCGACATATGACGTCAAAATATTACTTTTATCACTCCAGGCGCATATTCAATCTGCCCCTTACACGTTTACCTTGGACCAGAAAACAGACAAGAACCTTAGGTACAAAAGGATGTTAAATGCAGAAACCTACACACGCCGTATCGTCTTTTGATAGTTTACCGACGTTTCAGAGGTGCTTACTGCCTCTACCAGACCGAAATTCATATAAATATCTGCACGTTGTTTACCGTCGAAGTTGAAAGTAATCTGTAAACTATCATCATGCGCATTTTAACGATCCTACACTGAATGCTCTTAACGTTGATTCCACCTCAAAAATTCGAACGCTAATGGCAGAACCATCGTTCCGAGCATCATGAGTGCCTGGAAGTTCATTTAAAATTTATCACGGAAAGAAAATGCAAGTCGTTTGTTTCTTTATTCACCAGAGATTTCAGCTTTTACGTGAGTCGTTAAAAAAAACAAATAAATAAACAAACAGGACTATTGGCTTCGCCATGTTTGTTTGTCTGCCTACCCACACGAAACTGTTCAACAAATAAATGGATTTTCAAGAAATTTCATATTGGAGTACGCAAGTATAACGTGACCACAGAAAAGTGCTTACATACACCCGGTAGATCGGATTAAACCATTAAAATTAGCGTCTGTTCCTAGGTAGACAATTTTTTAGGCGAAGCACGAGGGTTAAAATGAACTGATTATAAAAATGTGGTGTACCACGGCTTTTATATAAATCACAAAATTACAGAATTTCATAACAGTGTCACTTACGCGGGAACGTGACAGTTGTGTAATGTAACTGGATACAAATGCAACAAAACTCACCCTCCGAGCTTCATCCCTGCGAAAAACCACACAACACCATTTACAAGAGATTCAATCAACTATATCACATCATAAATCCACATAATAAGTTATAATAAAATAAAATTAAAACACTTTCCGACGGACCAAAATCAATTTGCCTGTATTTCACTTTCTAACCCTTCCCCGTAATAGACGGCTCACTATGTAAATTGAATTTGGAGCCAGAGTACCGTAAATTAACATTGCTGAAAATCACTATCGTCGTCAACAAACACGTTGCTCTCTAGTGTTTATAAGCGTCTTCTCTTAACCTTAATTAACCCCTTGAACCCAAAGATTGTCATATTTAAAAAAGAATTCGGTCCTTACCGCAAAGAAAACACCACACTTCACCATTACAAAAATCAACGAGTTGAGGTCTAGTTTAATCGTTGGTTACTCTGTGAATCTTAACAGAGTTGCAGAATGTTTAATGAGGCGGTACACGGACTTACCACTCAGCTTTGAGGGGTTAACTTCCTCCAGAGTCCGTCCTTAGAAACTGAATTTAATACACGAATGATCATAGAGTTCTATTCGCAAAATCTGTTAATGCAGAAAACATTTTCCATCTGTTATAGACCAACAGGTTAACACCTGTCCAAATTTATTTATACAATCACTTCCGCTCGAAGGCTCACCCAGCCTCCTGCATTATGGGTACTGGGGGATATCTCCCTGGGGGCAATTTACTACTGAGATTAGGAATGCATACGTCTCCATGTCGTAGGAGCTTAATTGAAAACAGTGAGAATTTTACAATTACTGACATATACAAAAGTCACTAATTTATGTAAACCTTTCGTGAGTTGTAATTAAATCTGAGCTCTAAAATTGTTTGACGTAAGGAAAGTTGAGGTTAAGAATGCTCATAGCACACAGTACACTTGTGCCAACACATACAGGCCGATAAGTTATTTTCATGTTGAATAATTTGGATTCGCGACACAATAAAACCACAGTGAACCATTTTTAATCCGAAACTGATGTATTTCGAAGAAAAAAAATTCCATCGGATTGAGCTGACACATGTTTCAAAATTAATAAGGCGACTGGTTCAATTTCAATTAAACATTTTATTAATTCCATGTCTCGTACAATACGAATAAATAATTTCACTAGGCCCGCATAGAACAAACTCTACGCCAAATTCCTGACATTACTTTTCATTCCAGAAGCTTCAAATTCCCTTTTCATCTGCGCCCCTTTCCAGAATACCATCTGCAAAAAAAAAACTTGTTCCAATGCGGGTTTGAGGGGGGCGGGGGGCACGTCCTTCAAAAGCGGCGCCTTCAGTAAATTCACGTTGGGCGAACCAAGGGTTCTCAGGGTTTGGGACATAATTGTTCGAATTTATTCTCACGCGTATAATCGAATCCGCGTTGAATGAAGATTTTTCCATATTTCGATCTACTCACTTTCTCTGATACTTATTTACTTAATTACCCTCAGTTCAGTTCCTGCGAGCCTGTTGTTCGTCTGTTAATCTGTCCCTAAAATGTAATAATACTTAATTTATTACTTCCGATGGTACTCACCTCACTAGCTGTTCACATGCAACATGTCTGGTCCACGCCCCCAATTAACAACGAAAAGCCGAACCATCACGTAATTTTGGGGGGGGGGGGGCATTGTTGGCAGATTTTTTGTTAAAATACTAAATATTGCAGATTATGAATTCATTAAAATGTTTGGAATTTATTTTTTATTGATTATATAATTAATCTTATTTTTATTTGTTGTTATTGTTTCAAAACACTTATATTTTATGATTATTTTAAGTAATTGATCACCTATATACTTGTGCTTTCTGTGTTTTCTGTCCGATTTCATATCTCTAGTAATTCTCTGAGTTTTACAGGGTATATTTCAAAGAAGCAATTTGGTTGTGAATCTACTTGTTTGTATCACTACACCATTCTATTAATGAAATATTTGACAAATATTATATACTGCAATGAATTACATATGAAGCCATGCACATCATTA